GCTGCCTCACTCGGGGGTCGTGGCAAAGCTCCAGGTCAGCTCCTGCGGGAGGTTCTGCTTTAGCCTGGGCTTTTGGCAGGAAAAGGTCTGAGTTCTAGTCCCTCTTGCTTGGGATGCTCCTTGGTGAAGTACCGCAGCTCAGGTGCTTCCTCCCAGGTGTTGGCAGGGGGGAGCGGGGAAGATGAGGAGCACTGAACGACTTTGCGCAGTGGCTGCGGTATGAAACCAGTGGACAGGAATGTCTACGGGAAGAAGGTGCTTATTAGACCTGTTGCGTTAAAATATGTCCAGTTTTCATTTCTCTCTCCCTACATATTTTGAATATATTTAGGGCATTTATCACCATAGCATCAAAGCACTGAAATATCCTATGCAAGGGACTCTGAAAGATCTGTTCCAAAATAGCGGCCTGCTCTTTTACCAAAGCACCAATTTTGCTGTCAGTGCGCCCCTTCCCTGCCGCTGCCCGGGACTGTGCGTGCGCTGCACGAGTGTCAGAGCCTCCTCTGTCCCCGTCAGCCCGATGCTGTCGCTTGTTGTCGTAACGCGGTGGGTTAAGGGTCAAGTCCAGGAGAGATTTATGGTGCTTTTTGGTGTGTTTGTCTTAAGTCTTCAGTATCATGTAACGGGCTGAACAATTTTGCAGGCTTCTCTGCGTGCACAGGTGCTGGGAAACCTTATTGCTGTTTATCTTGATATGAGAGGATAAAAGGGTGGCTCTGTTCCATGGAAGGCAATATTCTGAAGTGATACTATGAGCGGTATCCCGCTGTTGTGAGCCCAGATGCGCAGAAAAACCTTATGGCTTATTAAGTCTTAAGGCATGCCGAGCATCTTTGGCTTTTCCTGCAGCTCTTGGTGTCCCCTGAAGCTTAGCGCATCCGGTAAGTCAAACCAAAGGAGGTCCTGTCTGTCCTCATATCTGGGCTTTGGTGGCAGGACCGAGGCGTGAGGAGCGGAGCTGCAGTCGCTTCTGTCTGTTGCTCTCTGAGCTTTTCATTCTGCAGCCCTAAACTGAACTTTAAATTCGTCCTTGCTGCCCGGCCTCCACCCCTGCCTCCCCTGGGAAAACCTGCCCCACTTGTAGATTAAATCTACAAGGTGACTTCAGTGCACATCTGTCTGAAGCCCCCAGTGAGTTATGGGTTGTTGTTCTCTTTTTGCTCCTCATCTTCAAACGTCTCTGTGCATGCAGATTGCACTCGGCTCCCTCCTGAGCGTCGGCAGTTATTGATGTGCTCCTGGTCTGGAGAACGCTCCTTCTGAGCCCCTTCTGAGACAGGCGCCGTGGTCTTGCCGGGCAGGGCTAATTGCTGAGAACAAGGGAAGATCTTTGACTGGAGCCGCCGCAGAGTCCCTGGCCCATCGTCTCGTTCCCACTCTCCAGGGACACCGAGCTGTGCCGCAGCCAGGGATCTCACGGCTTCTCTTGCTGCAGAGGGTCAAGGCCGGGGATCGGCACAGCCGCGGTGACTGCGCGGGGATCAGCCCGTCCCCCTCCCCGGGCACAGCCCAGTCTGCTCCCGGCCGCGGCCGCCGTCCTGCTCGGCAAACCGCACAACCACAGCAGTCCCGTGAGACCTGGGCTCTGTTGTACTGGTGTGAGAGGAGGACACCAGCGTTTGGGGGCAGTAAAACGCAGAAGTTCCCCCTCCTTCCCTACATCCCCTGACCCTGCCAAGGATTCAGCTGGGCTTCACGTTTCCTACCGCTCCTCCTTTGCAGCATTTCCACCTGCAGAATTCTTTCTGGTGTAGCTCCAGCCGCCCACGCCACCGTCCTCTGTGAGTCTCTCGGGAGGTCGGCTGTTGAAGTGCACTTGGTGCCTCCTCAGTGGATTGCAGGTCGGGTCATACCGAGCCCTCTGCCCTTTCATTAGCACCCAGAAAGTGATCAGCTGGAGCCGGGCGTGAGAGGCAGCCCCTCCTTCCCCTCCGAACCAGCACTATCAATTACCACCCAAGCTGGTCCTGGACACACCTCATGCAATTCTATTTATTTCTGAATGTGCTTGGGAGAAGTGGAGGTCTTCTTGGTTACAGAGGCAGCTTATGAAGTTTTCTGGTTTAGTTTTAAAGGGATGAGAGGAGTCATCAGCAAAGAACTGGCATCTCTCCTCTGAGGTGTTCAGCTGCCTTTGAGGTGGCATTGCTGAGAGTCATGTGCACCCTCTGATTTGCAGCTGCACCACCTTTTATACCTGGGCAAACTGCGTTCTCAGTTTGTCAGGATTTTTTTGCAGGAGCTTAAATAGTGACAGAGAGCAGAAGGTGAAGAACTTATCTGTGCCATTGGTGGTTTCTGTGCTGCTGAAAATCCCTGCAGGCAGATGCCAGCCCCCGCTCGCAAACAGAAAAAGTCTGAAAGACTAAAAGAAAAGGGGCTGTAGGCTAGTAAATGATTTTATCCATTCCCTTTTCTTAGTTCCAGAAGAAAATGTCCTCTGTGGCTGTGCCAGTGCCTCGGAGAGTTTCCATTGACCAGTGGACTTAATCTCATGGCTTTTGTATGCTGTTAACCGAGGATGTGATTTTACAGCAGTTTTGGAAGAAGCACAGGTACCGCTATTGGGAGATGTAGCGGTCGGTGGTTGTGGCTAGGATGGGAATTGCTGGTCTGTAAACCAGCAATAAAAACAAAGTATGAAAACCAAAAGCTGTTGTGCACGGGGTTGGTGGCGAGCGGTCCCAGCGCGGGCTCTGCCTGCTTCCCCGTGGGTTCACGGGAGGGACCCGGCCCTCCGCTGAACACCGGAGGTGGTGCTGCCGGTACGGGGGGGGGTGGGGGGGTGGGCTGCGGCACAGGGAATGCTGAATTCGGCTTTCTATTACGTAGACAATGTTTCATGCATCTTAACATAGACCTGAACCCGTGAGTTCCACTTAGGATATTTACAAAAGCACTATCTGGAAGGGTGGGCGGTGGGAAGGAGTTGGAGTGAGCTCGTGGACTGCGAGGAGGTACGTGACAGGTAATTAGGGGAAACCAAGCAATGAGGAGAACTGCGATTCAATACCACTGTCTGCAGAGTCTAAGTGACTGCGGTAATGGCACGTCCCTTTCCATTGTCCCTTTCCTCTCCAAATCACCTTTTAAACTATATTCTGTGTTAAAACTTCTGGACTAAAACCAAACAGAGAAGCAAGCAACCAACTGAACACAAAAGTCTGAGCGAACCCCCCTCAAAAGGCAACACGAACTGTCAGCCAGGAACTGACTGATTTTGATTTATGGTTTCTTTATCCTGCAGAAGCAGGAAAGTAATGAACCAATGTTGTGATCTCTGTGGGCTTTCCTGCAGCAGTGAGGAGATCAAAACAAGCTTAACTATTTCTGATATCCGCACGCCTTCTTCCCCCTCCCGCTCCTTCTCCAGTACCGTACGGGCAGCCTCACACGGCACCAAAGAACGTCAGTTTTGTGGATGCCACAAACCCTGTTCGCGTCTCGCAGCAGCCCCTGGGGCCGTGGGGCTCCTCCAGCTGCGCTGGGCACAGCGGGGGCCAGGACAGGACTCTCCCGCGCAGGGATCGGTGCTGTCCTGTCCCGTCCCGCTCCCCTGGGATCTCCCCCAGTCCTCTGCAAGCCCCAGACCTGCAGGTGCCGGGGGTGCCAGCGGCGCGGAGGCCTGGGGACGTGGGGAGCTCCTGTCCCTCGCCACGGGAGGGGGAGCGGGGGGGGCGGCAGGCTGGGGGGGGG